TGGAGTTGGGTTGGGAAGTTCTGCCCAACCCATCATATTCTCCAGATATGGCACCATCAGATTACCATATTTTTCATTCACTGCAACACCATCTTAATGGGAAAATGTATGCAAATGTGGAAGGTGTTAAAGAGGACATTGATATGATTTTTGCTTCAAAGCTAAGTGAGTTAATTAATCAAGGCATTAACAACCTGATTATAAGATGGCAAAGCATCATCAATAAGACCAGACTATTTCATTTAATAAATTTTTGTTTTGATATATAACTTGTTCGGGTTTTTTTCATCAAAAAAAAGGGACATTAATTTCTTAACAACCTAATAGTTACAAAAGCAGGACATACTTAAGGTTCATTTAATCTCAGTGTTAAAGTAAGACTTATTGTATTTACATTTGCTAAAGAGAAAGGGGAAATTAGCAGCACTATTTTATGTAGCATGCATGTAACCTTCATAAACAGTTTGCTATTCAGTGATAAATGTCTTTACAGTAGACTGATGACAGAAATTTTATGCATGTAATTATGCAAAAGGATAGTTATTTGTTTTTTGATAATTACCTACAGGATCGTTTTTTTTTCCCAATCTATTGATAAAATCATTTTTCTTTTTCTTTTTTACTTTAAATTCTTTTGGAATTAGCAAGAATTTAATTTTTCATCAGTTAATATGGCAAGAAGACTGAGATTTTGGTAAACCAAAATTGTGCTGGTCATAAAGGAGACATTTTTCTCATTGTAAGAAAAGTACATTGTTTATCTTTTTTGGGGAAGTTACCTTTTTTTCTTTTTTTGTATTCATTTTATGAAAGTTTCAAACAAAGGGAATATGCAAAAGTCTGATTTTTCATTATGAACCAGATGAATTCATTGGTTATTGCTATAAAAGTTTATCAGTTTGTCCTAAACAAAATTCTCTGGTACAAAACAACATCTGCAAATAAATGTCATGTTTTCAGCAAAGAACACGGAGCTTTCTGTTTTGTAGTGTTATAACATTAGGTTAATAAAAAATTTCCTACAATATTGATATTTTGTTTTCAGTTCATTTTTAATAGGACTAAGCAACCTATAATGGAAGTAATTTCCTTAACTTGCTCAGCTTGCTATTGCAGTAGGAAGAGCTGTACATGTTTACCCACTGTCTTTCTTGTTAAATCTAGGACGACACAACAAGATATCGCTCAACTTTCAGCACATGCTCTTTTTTTCAGGTAAATCTTTAGAAAGTAATAATGAACCTACAGAAACTGGTATGATCTTTGTCCTAAGTGCTTTTGGGTTTAACCGATGTCTGTATTTGTCTCATTCATAATATATATATGAAATTCTATATTATATACTATTAAAAATATTTTGAAATAACTAGAAAATTATGTAAAGAAATGTGTTGGTTAACAAGCTAAAGTAATGTATAAAATTTCTTTAGTTAATGCTGGAATCAAATTTGGGTTAGTTTTAACACCATGCAGTTAAATTTACCAAACTGTGTATTGAAAAGTTTTAAATATTACTAACAGACACAGTTAAGAGTAATTGCATTTTAGTTCTACAGAGTTGAAATTAGTTTTATAAAGTCAAAATAAGTACTAAAATAATTTTTTTCTGTTATAAGAAGTTGAAATAAGTAATAAAACCTATATTTTTTGTTTTACAAAGTTGGAATAAGTAATAAAACCTACAAATTTATATAGAGGATAATTAAGATTAAATTCAAAGACCACAATATTTGATAATTAAGTATAAATATGGATTTATTAACATAACTTTGGACATAGAAGTTTTAGATTTTGGAATATGGAGCTTCTGTATGGTGTGCGAGGTGAAACACTACAGAAATTTAATCTAACAAAGGTTTAGTAATCAGCAGTGTTCATATATTTTTGGGAGGAGGGGAAGGAAGATACAACAGAAGAAGAAAGTGTAGATTTGAAAACCATGGTGTCGGAGATGTAAAAAACTGTTTTCTTATTAAGAACTCCTTACTCGTTTAAGAACTGAATCTCTAACTCTGCTGATTCACCAGTTCTTCTGAATGAAGAGGATAGTTAATTCAAGTAAAATTAAATAGTAAAATAATTGGAGTAAATATAAATAAATAATAGTGTTATTCATTCAAACCTAATTATGATCTGTCAATATACTTATATAAATTTGATAAATTTCAGAAACTCAGTCTAGTTCATACCATAAAATTTGTTGATCATGCAGTTTGATGATATAAGTAGCATCTCAACCACCACTGTGTTTGTTGTATCCCAAATGGTCTAATGAGCTCAGATGTTGGATTAAAGGCATCATTTGCACTGGATATAGCAGATACAGTGTTGTTCAAATATTGTTATAACTTCTTGGCTTTTGCTCAATTTTTAGAATTTCCCAGCAAACACAGTGTTGTTCAAATATTAGTTATAACTTCTTAGCTTTTGCTCAAAATTTTTAGAATTTCCCAGCAAACACCTTTTCTTTGTGTAAGACAAAAACTAATTAACTTAACTCTTCAAGGATTAAAATAGAAAAGGTCTTGTCAAGCGTACAGTATCAGTGGTGCAGCAGGGGGGGGGGGCATTCGCCCCCGGGCGCAGGTGTGAAGGGGCACAAAATTTTCTCTGGCCTATAATGCCTATTAATTAATAATTATACCCTCCCCTACGATATAGCACAACTGCCCTATCCTAAGTAAATACGACACAACGTTATTTATGTGTATTACGCTTACAGTTTTAACTTTCAAAAGCTACCCACTGAAATACAGTGAGAACGAATTGACTTACAGATGTAAATTACACTATTCCATTATTCATGTGTAGATCAAATACAAGTCTTAGAGTACAACGTACAAGTAAGTGTATGTTCAACAAAAAGAAAATACGAGATTGATGTAACTTATTAACTGGTGTGCAAGATTGGCAATATATGCAACAAGCAAGATCTAAATCTAGCAAACATTATAGGCCTAATGTAGTGGTTCGTAATTGTATTGGCTGATTGTAAATCATGTCTTACACCAACTGATGTACTAGACTTTAGGTCTAATTGTAGTTATAACAATTTCAAGACCCTAGGTCCATCATCATACAAATTGTAGCCTATATTATAGGCATACTTAGACTTATACTAACTATTAAACTAGCCATTGCACTGGGACAGATCTAATGACTAAGTTAATAGATCTAGATGCAACATTTGTTCTAAAAGTTAGGCCTAATAAATCTAAATCTAGAATTGATGAGGCAGGGCTATATCTAGTTCTGGGTAGATTCAATACAAGGTGCTTTCAATCTATGCACCCAAATCTAAGGTCTAGTTTACATGTATAAAGCTAAATTTCTGTCATTATTATTACATCTAGATCCAAACCTAAGACTAAAAAGATGGAAATAACAGGTCTAACATTAGTGTTAGATCTAGATGTACTAGCGACTTAATCTAGGAACTGTAATCTAGCACACATATAGTTAGCCTATATTTAAGTTTTCTCATTCT